CCAGGGGCCACGTGTGGCTGGGGAGCAGGGCCTGGTGGCTCCCATCCCATATGACAGGGGCCAGTTGCCTAGGCGACTTCTTGTACTGGACGAGCACACTTTACACTCATAGACCCCAATGGACAGTCTGGCTCTCTTCCGATGTGCGAATATCTTTGAATGTGAGTGTGAGTCTTCGGTGGCAAATCACAAACCAACTAGTACATGAGGAAACAGGGCCTAAACTATTACAATCAGCAACCGTCCAAACTCGGGCCCACCCCTGACCCTAGCCCTGCCTGCGTGTCTCTTCCTAAAAACTGGGTGGGAGTTCATACCCTGCTGGGTCACTGATGGGGGAGCTGCGGGCAGGGCTGGCGTCATCAGGCCGAGTGGGTCTCCTGAAGCTCAGCGGGCATTCACTGTCTCCCTGGCCGCTGTGGGCACCCTCTGGGAGGCTCTCTGCCTGGTGGAATGGGTGTGAAGAGGCGTCCTGCAGGCTCCCCAGCATTCTGCCTTTCGGCCAGGCCCTGGAGCTGCAGTGCCGGAGCAGCCTCCTCTCTTGCGCAGAGTTGCCCGTGCTCAGCCAGCAGCACCTGCTTCTCCACGGCGTCGGCCCACAGCCGGGCCAGCACGCACCCCGCATCGCCACAGCCCCGCGGCCCAGCCCCGCAGAGCAGGCAGCAGGTGTCACGGTGCAGCTCCTCAAGGCTGGTGCTGCTGACCGAGCGGCCTGCTCAGTGAATGTCTCTGTGTCTTCTGTCCATTTTCTAACTGGATCATTTGCTTTGTGTCCATTGAATTTTGAGAGCTCTTTATGAATTCTAGGTAATAGGTTTTGTCAGGTGCATGGCTTCCCAATGTTTTTTACCAGCCAGTAGTGAGTCTTTATTTTCTCTTAACAAGGCCATCACTGAGTAGAAGAGTTTTTTTTAAAGATGTATGTTGTGATCTTGATTTTATCAATATTTTTGTTTATGGACTTAGAGGTTCAAAAGGCTTAATCTTATCACATTTTGTGTCTTCTAGGTTTATGCTTTACATTTAAATCTACAATCCGTTATGGCTATATTTTGTGTAGGAGTAAAGCTCAGCTTCATCGCCCGTGCTTCGGCTGCCTAGGTGCCCGGAGCTGGTTGGAAGCGTCCCTCCGCTGGCGCCGTGCCAGCGGCCAGCCTGGCGCGTCTTTGCGGGCGCGTTTCTGCGTTCTTCCTTCTGGTCCGCTAGTGCACACATTTGTGCCTTGGGCTGTGCCGTCTTGGTTGCTGTTTCTGCATAGCAAACCTCTGTACTGGGTACTGCGGGCCTCCTGCTTAATGCTGTGTTGAGGTTGTTTTGATACTTTAGATTTTGTGCTCTTCCATGTTCATTTTATGATAAGCTTCCCTCTGCAAAAGAAAAAAAAATTCAGTAAGAATTCCATTACATTTTAATTAATTCATTACAATTTAATTAATTTTTAATTAATTTGAAACAAATCAATATATCTTTAAAATTTATTTATTTATTTTAAAAATTTATCCTGCATGAAGAATCTTTGCAGGATTTAGGTGGGTGCTTAAGTATTTTTTTTGGAGCAATTATAGCTGGAATTTCCATGTATTCAATGGGAGCATGTTGAAAAAGATTAAAATCTGAGTGCTGATCTTATATTGTGGTCTTTATTGAAATTGCTGTTTGCTGATTAGTTTTAAGGAGTTTTTGTTCGCTTTTACTTTTTAAAAAAATTTCTAAGATTACAAAATGGAAACAAAAACATTAGAAGTGATACAAAATTTCATTAAACAAAGTAATAAGAATTCAACAGTGGTTGTTGCGTTGCATGGTGTTATCTTCAAATTAGTTATTTAGGTTACCAGATATGAGCCTGCAAAATTGGTTTAAAAAGTTATACGAATTTTTTAAAAGATACCAGCATAGAGAGTCAATGTGAGAATTCTACCCCTGAACCGCTGTCCTCAGACAAATGATGGAAATTCTCAGGCCACTCCCTTAGCCACCTGGTACATGCACACGCACGGCTTTGCCCCACCGCATGCCCGTCTTTTCTCCTTTCTGTGTCTTCATTGTTTAATCCTCAGGTTCTGTCACTTTCCATTTCCCTGTGTCTATGACACCTCTCAGTTTTTGTTTCTTCTGAGTTCTTACACTAGGGAGACAGCACAAAATTTACACATGTGGGTCTGGTTTATTTCACTCATGAACTAAGCAACTACATTAAGAACAACAATGCATAATGCTAAAGCCATGCTTGAAATACCTGTCATCTTGGTCCTCTATGTGTGTATCATTTCTAACGTCATATTAATTATTACTATACTCTCTTTAAAGTAAATTTTTTTAAAAAGGTAATAAAGGAAAATGAGAGACAACAAAAATTTAGGTTTTCTGGAAAGCATGTGGCAGTATTCAGTCATGTGTCCCATCTTGCATAACTATATCTGTTAATATGAGCAATAGATTTGATGATAAAAATAGATAATATATCAGTCATTGTTAGTCAACTATTCTTGTTTTGAAAGTCTGTAATGTATGTATTGTTATATGTTGCCCTGTTTCTTTGCTTTTATTTTTATTGCTCTTGTTTCTACTCTTCAAAATAAAAGAAAATTCTAAAAAGAAAAGAATTTACTAACTTCATATAGAATGAGCACAATAAATCCATGGTACTAAAAAAAAATTTAAAAAGCTAAAAAATGACTTAAACATTAAGTGCTCCTTTCAAATATCATAGCGTCTTGCTAGTGTGAGAAGTGTAAAAAGTAAATAAAATCTGAAAGGTACGATAGACACTGTGGAAAGGAAAGAGCCTGTTGAGTGGGAAGAAAGGACGGGGATGATGAAGTGGATGAAGGAACGAAGGGAAAAGACACACTCGTGTGGGTGAGCAGCACAGGTGGGACCGCTGGGCTGCTCTTGTGCAGGTCTTTTACTTCTTTAGAAAGAAGACCTCCGTGCAGTCCTGTGGATAAGTTTCTGTGGCGTCGGGACAGCCGTCCTGCCCTGTGCGTTAGTGAGTCAGCATTTTCAGTCATCATGTTATTTCTCGTAGATAGTGCTCAGCTGGACAGAGTTTGTTTGCTTTTCAGTGCGTTCTGTAATCTTGTTATTAATTGGTGTATTTAGACTTTGCACAATTGATGTAATTAGTGATTTGTTAAGGGTTGTATCTGCTATTTCATGATCGTTTTCTCTCTTTTAGGTTTTCCATTTCTTTTTCCTGAGTTTGTGTGGCTTACTAGTGTTTGTTAGTGGCTTCTTGGCATGGACATCTTGGTGGGTGCTCTAGGTCCTGTGTAATACACACATAACTTAACATAGTGAGCTGGGATTTCACCAGCTCCAGGGGAGCGTGGGAGCTGGCCTCACGCGAGCTCCTCCAGTGTTACCCATTTGTAGCTAAGTGTCCTGAAGTTTGCTGTGTATTCCTAGAGAGTACTGCTGCACAAAGTGAGCATGTTTTTATTTTATTTCAGTGGACACATGGTCATTGCATGTATGAGCGGGGTACAGCGTGCTGTCTCAGTACATGTAGGCACAGCGTAACGCCCACGTCGGGTGCCCACACGTTCCTCACCTTCAACAGTTCTCATTTCTTTGTAGTGAAACTTTAAAAATCCTCTTTTCTGGCTATTTTGAGCCAACTTATGCTCTAAGTATCAAGCATAATTTAAAAACTGAAGTGGAGACAAATTTTATTGTGTTTAACCATATTTCTGGTTGTTCTTTTTCTCTTCCTTCCTGGTGCTCCAAGATTCCTTCATGTATTATTTCCTTTATAACTGAAGATCTTTCAGCATTTTTTTTAGGGTGAGTCGGCTGCTCTTTTGGTTTTCCTTTATGGGAGAATGACTTGGATTTCTTCTTCACTCCTGAAGGTTATTTTTGACGGATATAAAAATCAGAGTTGGTAGCTCTTCTCTTTCAGGATTGATAAATGTGCTGCTTCTTTTTGGCCTGCGTGGTATCTGAGGAGGAAGTGGCTGTTTTATCTATAGGCAAGTTGTCATTTTTTTTTTCCTCATTCTTTTCAAGGTATCTATCTCTCTATCTCTCATCTATTTTGGGTTTTAGGAGGTTGATTCTATTCTCCTTGCCATAGATTTCTGGGGCTCACTTTTCAGGTTCGTTCAGCTTCTTACTACATCTCAGGCTCATGCTCTTAGCAGCTTTCGGCCATGATCCTTGGGGTGCTGTCCCCACTCTTCCCTCCTTGGCCTCCCAGGTCTCTGTAGTTACACACGCGTGCTGGATCTCTTGCCCATGCCCCAGGCCCCAGAGCGCCTGTTCTTCCCACTCTCAAATCTGTGCTCTCTGTTGTCCAGGCAAGTAGTTTGCATTTACTGTTTCGTCTTGAAGGTTGCTGGTTTTGCCCTTGTGCTCGCCACGTAGACCTTGGGGCAGATGGACACTCTGGCTCCTCCTTTGGCTTTGGGCTGCGGCATGATGTGGTTTTTACTTTTTTCTTCTGATATTTACCTGGAGCTGTGCAGCTACTATCTAAAATAGTTCTGTCTAGCAGTGCTACTCCGATGGGGCTTCATCGGAGAAAGCAGGCTTCTGTTAGAGCCTGTTTTCTCTTTGGGGCCTGCTGTCATGTCAGCTTGCCAGAGGGATATATGATAGGAATGGGAACACTGGGGAATGTATTGGTGCTGTGAACATCCATTACATATTTGAAAATAAATGAAGCGGGTCTCTAATAAACCGCACCCAGTGGGAGCTATCCAATAGAAGGGTCCATCTTCACGATCTAAGATATAACTAAATTGTTGCTTCTAAAAATGAACGACAGGGCTGGGGAGGTGGCTCAGTAGGATAAGTGCTTGCCTGGTAAGCACAAGGGCCTGAGTTCAATCCCCAGTTCTGCCAAAAAATAAAATAAAATAAAATAAAAATGAAGGACTGTGGAGTTTGTGGCCACTGTATGAAGATCTCTGCAGTGGCGTGCTGCCGCCAGTGCTGCGTCCCGCAGCTGGCCCCAGAAGCTGGAGCACACAGCCTGCCTCTTTGTCTTGCAGGTTGGGCTTCCCAATGATGATCGTGTCCTGCATGGTTGGGATGTGTTACCTCCTCGTTGCCCACGTGGTGTTGGGATGGAATTAGTAAGCAGTCACCGTCGGAAGACTACGGGAGACTTAATCCACCATCCACGTCAGCCAGAAAGCTGCCCGGGACCACTCTGCGAAGACGTAAGGTGCTTACCCAGGATGCTGCAGGTGGAGACAAACGCGTACTTGAAAGTCGCGGAGTCCTCAGTAGCCCTTCTCCCTGGGGATAAAGACAGGAAATAGAAGATACTTTACCCAAGGTTCCCTTACTGGAAACCACATATGTTTTTAAAACATTTCTTGCTATTCTATGTAGGAAAAGAGAAAAATTCATTCAAAATAGCTCACTGTTTGTCACTAATCTGGAGGCTAAAGATAGTTTTTCTTCCTGTAATTGCTTCTCATGTTAAAATAATCAGCATTCAAATCACATGCTTCTGAATATAGCTTTTCTGAAAATGTTTGCCGCTTGTAAGGAAACATTTTGTACATCTAAAAAAATAAAGTGTTATTCAACAAGAAGTGTTGGAATGTATTAATTTCATGAGTTTTAAATGGTTTACATTATGTAAAACCACATTTTAATCATTTATATTTTTCTCTGGAGTTTTTATGTTGTTATTTGGAAGTCCGGGCTTTGCCTTGCAGAAGATCAGAAGTGTCTTAAGCAACGCACGTGTCTCGGCCTGGAGCGCTCAGGCTCCCTTCTGAAGGCGTCCGACTGCTGTCACCGTGCAGAAGTCGGTCCCGCATGCAGCTCTGCCCTCTCTGCTGGGCGCTGGCGCTTCAGTCAGCGCTTATTAGGTATGAATGGGGTGGGGGCCGCTTCCCTCCAGGGCCGACCCTGCCTCCCTGCCCTTCCTGCCTGCAGCCAGAGACTGCACGTGTGAGCCGACACAAGCCTCTCCTCCTTTATGCTGTGAGCATCAGGCATTGTGTTTTGAAGATGACAGAAATTGGCTGAGATTTTGGCAGCAGAGAAGTAGGGTCATGGTTCAGAACATAATTGTGCCTGTTCAGTTTAGAAGCCTTTGGAACAGGTTTGCAGACGTTGGGAAAGGCGTGGAGATGCTGCCTAGGGAAGCCCTGGAGTCCTCGGGCTGAGCTTGGTGGCAGGGTCTCGTTAGCACACAGACAACCGGGGTACTGTGAGAGCTACAGACAGAAAGGCTGGGCTCAGGAGGCTGAATGTGCTGGGATGCTGAGGGAGGGAGAAACGGAAGCCAGGGGTTAATCTGATGCGGGAAATTTCAAGGCAGGGGCTGGGCACATAGTTCAAGGGGCCGGGAATAAAGCTCAGCAGCGTAAGTGCCTGCCTGGCAAGTGCAAGGTCCCAAATTTGATCCCCAGTACTGAAAAAGAAATTCAAGGCACCCTGTCATGGTTTAGCGTTTTGCAAGGGAAACAGTGCAATAGGGACACACCCAGAATCATGCACAAGGAGCGCAGGTCCAGCTGGGGGCCTGGATCCCAACACCCTGCATGAGTCCAGCTGAAAACCTGGAGCCTGTAACAGTGCCTCCCGTAAGTCCAGCTGG